TATTATGTATAATGTCACAATGTGCGAAATACCACATGTGTCACGTGTATATATATATATATATACACGTATATATATATATATAGTTTTGCATATGTACATTTATTTATTTATATTGAATGATAAAGTAAATAAAAGCAATAGATATAATAAAATATATATAATAATTTGTTATTTACATATTTATAGACATCAGAAGAAACTACTGGGACAGACGTAAATGTGATTTCTGAAGAATTAGCAAATGAGTCATCTGATATTATAGATTCTGATTTAGATGAAAATCCAATAGAAAATGTTGAAAATGAAGACACAGATATGGATGACGTTTAGTCTATATAAAGGGTGAGTTAGAATACAATAATTTGAAGCTCGCCTTTCTCAGGTAGCCATATTGGTTTTATGACGTTATAGATGAAAAATGACATGCAGTCAATTTCTTACGACATACAGCATTATTTTTAGTTTTCCTTGAAAAACGTAAGTTTCGTAATCCTGAAATGTGTAAAATATGCAGAACACTGATATGTCTGCCTAATATATCACATAGAATCGTAAAATAATTCCTGAAATAACGGGTCATTCTTCAGGCATCTTAGCGATCACAGTTGCCTGAATATAAATGAAAAAAAAAAACGTTATTTCAGGAATTATTTTGCAACTCTACGTGACATATCAAACAGACATCCCAGTTTTCTTCACAGGACAGTTATATTCATGCAATACGGAACTTGGTGAAATTTTCCAACATTGATGGGTTGATCAGAGAGGTTCTATTTTATAATCTCCGTGAACACCAGACTTCATTTCTTCAGACTTATTTTTGTGAATTCATAAAAAATGTTTATGTCAGATACGTCCAACAAGGATATGAAAGATAGAAACTTATTAATTGCCAGGAAAAAAGTTTAAATTAATTATATATAATTGTATATAATTTTTTGTAAATGTCCATGGATTTTGACCTGATTTAATCATATGAATAAATAAAATTGTTTCTTATTGTATCTAATTATAGATCACATTATATATTACCCAGAATTAAATGCAATTACATTCCTAGAGAGTGTCAAAAAGACGTCATTTGAGACACCATGTGGGATATTCGGAAAAAAAGTTAGTTCATACATTCGCGTCGCTTCATGGTTCCTGAACGGTTACCCATCCAAACTGACGCTGCTTAAACTCGATGATCGGACGGCTAGCAGTGATCTCAATGGCAACATTTCTGTGATTTATGCATTTATGCATTTTTGTGTGATATATCCTCAACATGTTTACAAACATGTAATAACATATTTACCGATAGACATAAAAAAAAACGCAACAATAGTTGATATTAATATAATCCATTTTTATTCCATAAACTAGATAGACTTAACACACATATATAGTGGATGTGAACAGAAGAAAGTATATTTATACTTACCACGCAATATGTATTTTCTAGCAAAAAAAAAAAACACCTAAGCAAACTACGAGCCGAATCTCTGTCAATTTCTCGATTCTTAAGACAATATTTTAAGGAGTGTTATCCGCGAGGCTCTGCATAGCTGCATAAAAACAAGCACACGTGTTATCACAATTGCCCAGCAGAGTATATAATCGGTGTAAACGCACTATCCGGCATCAATCTGCGAAGTTGCGTCGAAGATGAAGATTCCAACGATACTCGTGACGTCTCTCTTGGTTTGGGGGCTCGCTAGCGGTCGAGTCATCGAGTCGAGCGCAACGGCATCTGCAGAGGCGTCAGCTTCGGCATCAGCTGGTCATATCGGCTTGCTGCACGGTAAGCGTCAGCACTTGTTGAGGGAGGGAAAGAAGATTGGTGGACTTATAGAGACATCGCTGAACGCGCCCGCTCTGAAGGTCGGCATCAAGAATGGTGGGCTCGACGTTGCGAAGGGTGCAGCGGTCATTGAAGCGTCGATGTCGGACGTGGCGGCCCGTTCGGAGTACGGTTCCATCGATCTCGGTTTAGGCGTAGTCGCGAATAACGCTGAGATATTGGCCAATGCACAGGCCGCTACAAGCGCAGACGCTAGCGCCAACGCCAATAACGCTGTCGCACAGGCGATTGCGGCAATGGAGATCGCCGACAAGGCCGAATACTATGCGGCGATCCACGTTACACAGGCCGCTAAGGCAGCGGAGGCCGCGATGGCTTCAGCCGCTCGCGCCGCCGCGGCCGCTGACGCCGCTAAAGTATCTTCCGAGGAATCGCTTGCGTCCGCCAATAAAGCCGCCACCACCGAGACCAAGGCCAATGCCGCGTCCATAATCGCTAACAAGGCAAATGCCGTGGTGGCGGAATCCGCTGCCGTGCTCGCGGCTGCAGCCGCTAAGGCTAAGGAGTCCGCGGTGAGATCCCAGAACGCTGCACGAGCCTCTGCGAAAGCACAAGCCGAGATCGCTCGGGCCAGTGCCGAGGCCTTGATCGCTCTAGCCAAAGCCAAAGCCGCCGTCGACCGTGCGGCCGCCGACCAGGCCGTGTGCACGTCCCAGGCCCAAGCTGCCATCCAAATTCAATCAAGAGCCTCCGCATCCGAGTCTGCAGCGTCCGCCCAATCAGAAACCAACACAGTCGCGGCCGAGGCTGTCGCTATCGCAGATTCTGAGGCTGTTGCTCAAGCACAAGCGTGGCTCCAGTCGCTAAAACATGACATGTGGCTGCGCTATAATATGAAAGGAGAAGCTAAGGCGGAAGCCGAAGCTGTCTCGGTCAGCAAAGGATATCATGGTATCCACAGGGCAGGCGCTAGCGCGGAAGCTAGAGCTGGGGCGAGCAGCAATGTGTCAACGGGCGGACGTCACGGACGCAAAGACAGCGTTTCTGCTGCGTTAGCAGCCGCTTCCGCTGCCAGTAGCAGCGAGGCAATGTGAAAACGCTACAGCTCCCATTTCAAAAATATGTCTCAACAGCGGACGTAGAAATATTGATTACACCGATATACTGTAGGTTAGCACACGATTACACTGGCAGAAGAAAGTTACAAAAAAGTAGCTATTTGTTTCGAGAATTGTAAGAATAAAAATAAATTGTTATATAGCAGCTTAAACATTTTTCTCTCTGTTTCCCTTCTTGCCTTTGTTCATTATAATATTCGTGTATAAATTTATCCCTAAATTATACACAATTCTAAATTTCCTTATGCATATTATTTCTTATACTACAGTTGATAGATATTTGTGTATACTAATGCAATTTAGGCAATTTATTCAGAACTTTCGTCTTTGTATTTTTACGGAAATAAATATGTTTAACTTAAACTACAACCCTGTTTTCTCTCTCCATTATAATGCGTATAATATTCTTAAAATTTATAAATAATCTGCATTCGATACATTTTATATGATGCGCAAATTAATACGGTACCTTTATCCATAATCAACAATAACTTCATTTTAAATTCAAATATCTCTTTGATAGTTTTTGAAGCACCAATATTTCAAACTTGGCGAAACTGACAATAAATAATCTCTCAAAATAGTATTGAAATGTCCACCGACAAGCGGCATATTAGACACTGCATTCTTTTTATTTTCCGAGTTTCGAAGTGGTGATTTCTCTCTTGTTAATAAAAGTGTGAAATTTCGCGCATCTGTTACGCATAGGTTAATAATGTGACGATCTTATGATAAACGGACTTTGATGCGTGTCGATGCTACGGTTAATGAAACTGACCAGAAATTTGCATCATCAAGATATGCTGAATTGTGACTCGTGGAGAAAAAACTGGCTACACTCCTCGCCCTGCACCTCACTTCGTCGTTGCTGCACTCGCGAGAGTCATCACTATGAACTTATCATATTCGATCTGCCGACTATTATAAGGGATAATCGGAATTTCATTGTTGCGCTTCTGAGAATGCAATTTTCGTTTGCTTGCTGAATCTGTGCGCAATTCGCCGCAAAGAATGGTTCTCGTGAACTTGTAAGCATCATTTTACAGATGTCTCTGGGCAGCCACCAAAATATTTATATATGAATGTTCTTCTAGCAATGAACTTACAACAAGGAGGCTCGAACGTGTTACATACTTTGGCCGATCTGATGGTTCCTTTAAATATTGTAGCGCTCGTCTGGGGAACGAATAAACACACAAATTCTGAGAAACGTTTAATAAGAAAGATTACGGAATAAGGTGTTGTTTCACCATAACATATTCAAACGTTGACGCTCAGCAAAAATTGGTCGAATTCTTTCGCATCTACTATATTCGCCTGATTTAGTGAATTTCCATCTGTTCCAGAAATTTTCCTGGCTGGAAAGAGATTTGGGTCGAATGAAGAGGCGATAGAAGCTGTAAACGGCTATTTTGAGGACCTCGAGGATTCACTTTCGGAAGGGAAACGTTGGGGAAAGTGCTCCGAGGGAATTATGTTGAAAAATAAAATATTCTATGAAAACTGTTATCTTTAATATCAAAATAAGTCTTTAAATCACCCTCACACAATTTATTTGTCAGATTTGACCGCCTGAGATTATCGATCACTACGACGTCACATAACAAACATAGTTTAAAGGAATTAAAAATGTCACAAGAAATGCATAGGTAATTTTATCTACTCAAACTATCGACTCACTGCCGTCTTTTTATCAAGATAGAATTCGATATCTTTCCGAATGAAAAGTTATTGAAAATTATAGAGATTATTTTAAGAATTAAAACCTTTCTGGCAATTTAATTTTAGTTTTAATTCTTAAAATAATCTCTATAATTTTCAATAACCTTTCATTCGGAAAGATATCGAATTCTAATTTTTCTGGGAATCAAATCATAATTTTTCTGGGAAAAAGTACCGAATTTATTTGTATATATATGTAATAATATTTTAGAATTTGTACGTATAATGAAAAACACTAACATAATATAAAATGGATATATTTCTCCTTGCTTGTATTCTAAATACCTAAAAATTGAGAAATTGTTAAAACATATTAAAAATATCGAGGTATGCATTTGCTGTTCTAATACAAAACAGCAATAAGGGTATCAAATTTTGGTATCACTTGGATGAAAATTAGCATTAAAAACTATAATAATTTGAAGAAGAATGAGATGTTTGAGTGAAAGCAACATTTTGAAATTTTCTGAAATGGATGAAAATGGGTAATCCAAATTGATCCTATTATTTTCAAAGAAATCCGCATGGAATTAATATTGCACGAATGTTTAAACGCGTTAACAACAGCTTTCCAACTTATATTCGTCGTGGGGCAACATCCTTATTGATATTATGACTGTTATGCGCAGCTAAATATAGCAACCGCCTGTACCGCTGGCGTCACAATACATCTCTCGGTCCTCGGAACTGTACAGTGCAATGCGTTCGTAACTCTCGTTGGATATAAATCGTTGCGACTGGTGCAGACTTGCGATAAGTTCTTTTGCCGCTGTTCGGACAGTCGAAGAGAATACGTTAGTAACGAACGAACATGTGATTTTGCTCCATAAGCAATTGTAAGTTATAATGTGAAATCCATGCATGTATAATCGTTGTTGGAATAGGTTTAAGATAAAAATTTAACAACCGTCATTATTTTTTCATGTAATTATCTTCGATTTATATGGGATAAATTTTTAGAGGTAGATAAGAAGACACTGCCTATTGATGGGATTAGATGGAATTGAAGGTTAGTATAATTTTAAATGCGGACTCCCGCCTAAGAAGACTGTGAGCTATTAATTTAATTGCGCGAATTATATCTTGTATTAAATATTGTTATATTGTAGGCTTATATTTGTTGCAAAAATAACAGTGTAATATACTCTGAATTATGCTACACAAATAATAATAAAGGAATGTAAATATATTGTTTGCAATATAATTTTGTAATGAATAAATTAATAATCCCCGTAATAGGATGTGCAGATTACGATAGAATAGCACACGGGCCTAACGCAAAGTCGGTCTCAAGTATGGTGTGCTCGGTAGGCTGATATTTTTTACAAAACAGACTCAGACGTCATCACAAAGCATGACAACAGTAATATTTTTACAACTGTGCATGAGATGGTATATAATTGACGAATCGCGCGAGACGCTACCAATGTACAGAGTTCCATCGACGATGAAGATATTCCTCGTGTATTTCCTCATCTGGGGACTGGCAAATGGCCAGGGTCTTAACCCGGAACAGTTGTTTGTCGGGGCTTCGGCCAATCCTTCGTTGGAAAGTGCAGTCTTCGGCAGCCCCCTACCTGATCCAATCGCAGGTTCGTCCGCTTTCACAAACGATCAGATAAATATTAACTTCGGTCCCATACTTAAAGCGGGATCATCAGCGCAGACGTCATTAGTCAAATTTGGACATAAAGATTTCTCGACGATGGTAGACGCTGACGCGGCCGCACAAACGTCTTTCGCGTTCCCGAAAGAAGATACCGCAGCGAATCTGAAATCTCTCACGAAGATAATGGCAGATCCTCCGATCAAAATTACAAGTTCGACGACCAAATTGAGCGAGGAAAATTCCGAATCTACAAGAAAGAAATATTTCCTGACGCGTCACTTCTCATCTTCAGCATCGTCTTCGTCTTCGTCGCAGCCTAGTTCGACCACGTCCACAGTCTCCGCCGAGTCAGAAACCTCAAGCTCTGATGTAAAGTCTCACTTCAGCGAGTCATCCGACCGAGGATCGTCCAGGAAGATAGATATTTCGGCGGAAGCTATCGCTAAAGCCGAAGCTGAGGCGAAGGCTGCGTCGCAAGCAGCGGTGGCCGCACAAGCAGAGGCCGAGGCTCAGGCGAAAGCGGCAGCTCGTGCGGAAGCGGAAGCTAGCGCGGCGGCTGCCGCAGAAGCACGAGCGGAAGCGAAGGCGCGGATGGAAGCTGAAGCCCGGGCGCAAGCGGAAGCTCGCGCGGAGGCGTCCGCGCGTGCCGAGGCCGAGGCTAAGGCGGAAGCGTCCGCAAAAGCGGAGGCCAAAGTGAAAGCCGAAGCTGAGGCGCGGGCGCAAGCCGAAGCTCGGGTCGAAGCGGAAGAGCGAGCGGCCGTATCCGCGCGAGCCGAAGCTAAGGCCCGGGCACAGGCTAAAGCCGAGGCGGAAGCATCCGCACGTGCGGAAGCGATAGCTTTCGCCGAAGCGGAGGCGCGTGCCAAGGCGGAAGCACGCGCGGAAGCGTCGGCACAAGCCGAGGCTAAGGCGAAGGCAGAGGCGGCGGCTGGTGCGGAGGCTGCCGCTGCGGCTAAGCTGGCCGCTCAAACCAAAGCGATAGCCGAAGCGTACGCCAACGCTGTCGCTAAAGCCGAGACGTCCGCTAGGAAAGCTTTCGTGGCGAGCGTCGCCACGACGAACGCGGCGAAGTTAATCAAATTGGCTGCGTCGGCACAAGCGCAGGCAGCCATCAAAGCAACTGCCGCTGAAGAGGCAGCAGCCGCTGTTGCCGTCGCCACTGGTGAGGCTAATGCTTCGGCAACTGCGGTCGAAGCCGCTCTCGTGCTGACCATGATGATCTCTCAGTCTGCGGAACTTGCTCAGAAGATTGCCGCGTCTTATTCAATGGAATTGGTCAAAGCAGCTGTGGCTAGCGAAGCCGCTAACAGATTTGTCGAAAGCAAAGCTATAAGCGGCGAGAAAATAGTCGCTTCAGCGATAACAGCTGCACAAGCGTCTGTGTCCAAACATACGGCAGCGAAGCGGAAGACCGAAGAGCTTGCTATGCATCGAAAGATGGCCGAGGAAATTAGTGCAAAGGCAGCTGCTACACAATCCACAGCTTTGGAATACGCAAAGCTGGTTTCTCGTGAGGCTGAAGAAGCTGCCAAAATGCAAGCTTCATCATCCGCCAAGATGGATTCAAGAACCGCAAAACTAGAATCCCTCATAGCGGCGCAGGCAAATTCCCGCGACGCCATAAGGGATGGCATTGTATACGGATTGGGCGCTATGCCGAAAATAATGTTCAAACATGTCGAAATGTAGACGAACAATTAACCGGACAGCAGAACGATGATTCAAGAGATTAGCCGGAACAACGACAAGACGTATCTAATTAGATGGCAAATGACATAAATGATAATACAAAAAAACTATTACTTTGAAATGATATAATATTACAACAAATGAAGTTAATTTACTTATGATTATTTTTGATATCCTGTTCAATTGTTGAATTATTGTCGAATTGTTTGCAGATTGTCTCGACATTATAAGTAATATCGCATGTGTCACAGTTAATAGAACAATTTTTATCAATGAATAATAAATAATAAAATTAACAGCAGCTTTTCTTCAATTTCTTTCAAGAAATTATTATTTTCTCAGTAACTTTTACCTCATAAATGTCCTTGAGTTTAAGATATACAAGCGGCTAAATAGATAGACCTATAACATCGGCGAGAAAGATCCAAGTAAGGGAGAAGGCGACAAGAACTGCCACCGCACTTCTTCTAGAAGGGGGAAAGAAAGGGTGATCATGGTGGTAGAGCTTTGGATATCTTCTAGCAAGACGGCGAATCATATGGTACAGAATTGGTTCTCCGACAACGTCGACATGATTCTGATCTAAGGACTTCTGGCCTCCCAATAGTCCCGAACCCTCTCGACTGCTATATGTAGGGCGGTTATCAACAAGATACCTCAACGTGGCCGAGCCTTACCCTTTTAAATTAAAGTATTTCATCGCAGAAAGATATTCGATTATTTCATCGTTGAACACCCGTACTACAACTGACTGTCAAAACTAAGCGTCGCATATGGCTGAAAATTTGTAAGCAGCCATTAAAAAGATTTCACAGTTTACAACAGTTTTCGACCAGTAATGCTATGTTCAGGCCCGAAACTTATTAAATAACCTATGTATCTTAAAATCCTCTAAAACTCCTAACAAATAGAAACAAATTCCATAAGCTTTCCTCTACTAAGTACGTCCGCTACACAGAGTGCTTGTATTTTTAATTAATGATATCTAATAACACGAGAAATATACCAATCTAAACGCAGAATTTTTAGTACGTTATTACATCTTATTAGATCCAGTACGAAAATGTATCGGAAACAAATGCCGTGAATCTTACAGCGTATTTGTATTATATTACATCAGTATTATTATATTAAAAGCTACTAGGCATAAAACTATTATTTAAATGTAAAAGTGTGTAAATATTTTTAATAACCGAATAATAACATTCTCACGTTATACTTAGCAGAATACATATTAATTGTTTCATTGTCAAATTGCTTTTATTATGCCAATATATTTATATGTAGCTATCTTTAATGTATATTAAATTGTGCGAGTGATCAAATTTGCCAACTACAGGTAAATCGATTAATGTACAATGTTACCCTATTTTTCCTCCTTTAGAATTTACACCTTGACAGAAAAGCAGCAACACCAATCAGAACTCGCGTCAGTGGTCGACAGTTTCTACTTTATCTACTGCTTATTACTAGAGCGCGAGTTTTGATTGGCTGTTGCTTTTCTGTCAAGATGTGAATTCTCCCTTAGACACGTCTCTCGTATGAGACTAGAGATTCGTCTCTATGCGAATTTGCTCGTTGGGGGAATATGTTCCCGTATGCGATGTTTTACGTGAACGAGCTTTATATCGAGCGATAACTTGATATCCGAATCAATCGGCGAGATTAATATCCAGTGGAACACATGCGCAGATTATTCATTCGGTACACAGACTGAGAAATCAGTGGCACTTCAAGGCCAACAGAAAACCCCAGAAAATCCTCCAGAAATCACTTCTCTCAGAAGCAAGCCGAAGTTGAGAATTATCGTTAAGGCAGTGTACGATCGGCAGAGGCGGTCTGTCCAATGATACTAGAAACCGATAGTATACGCTAGTATGTGGAGGAGGACATGATGCGTACAAGCTCTGTATTCGCTATTTAGCGTGACCGCGTATTCTATCTTTATTACTCTTTAAGTATACAACAAGGATAGAATGACGCGGTTGCGCTAAATAGCATCTCCTCGAACACACCTATACAAGAATGGAATGACGTGCTGATCAGTGCTAATAACACGCTCTCCGAACACAGCCTTGCACGTATGAACGTATTGACTACCGAGCCGCTTCTTGCCTTGCAACAATTAGTGTTGCTCTATAGAAGCCATAAGACCACGATACTGAAATTCTCGACTGTGATTGGCCAATTCGTATATCATCCTTTTGATCAATAATATTAAGAGTGTTAATGTATTAAATAAATTTAAGAACATTATTTGAAAAAAAATACTTAACTATAAATGGGTAATTTTTACATTATATCGTATATTTAAGACTGATGAAGATAGTAAGGCTTTTAGTAATAAAATATAGTAACATCGAAACAAAAAAAGAATTATCGACATAGGGAATAATCGATTTCAAAAACATCGAAAAAACAATCGATTTTTTAAAGAAAATATAATCGATCGATGATTGCGCATTCCTAGTCCATTCCAAGAAACAATCACATTTATGAAACGGGCGGGATCCGATAGACCCACATCGGTGATTGGCTAATTTAATATAAAATTTTCTAATTGGTGATCCAGCAGAAAATTTTTAGGCATCGGCCAATGTGAGTGGATGTATGCTATTGCACCGTGCTCTAACGGGACTGTCTCTCACGAATATCTATGCTATATCAAGAATAATGCGGCTCTAATCCGAAAGCCAAATCTGAAAGCCGGTATTCAAAGTTGGTTCTTATATTTAAGACGGCCTTAAGTTTATCTTCAGATGTTTTGATGCCGATGAAATAAGCCATAGAGCATCTAAATATAAACTTAAAACGGTCTTAAATATAAGACTGTCTTAAATATGAAATTCAACTATGAATGGCCTAAGTAGTATTTGTCTTACTAACGTGATATAGACAGATTTCACTTAACACTCGCAATGACGCGAGCGTCATTCTATTTTTATTTTAAACATCCAGCGAGAAACAAAGATAGAATGATGCTCACGTCGTTGCGAGCGTTAAATGGAATCCGCCCTATATAGTCTATATTGACTCGTAGGGTAAAACAAAGGTGGACATAGACAAAACGGGAATACTATTTAGATATTGTTTCTCTTAGCGGAAGGATTTCGATAGCCCACACGCACGTATACACAACATAGCAGGGAATCATTAAATGCTACGGGAGTGACGAACCGTCTTTATCTCTGCTATGACACACGTACACATACGAACACGCGTGCATACACGCACACACATTATACACGCACGCAAACACACACATACACGCCATATAAGAGGTTTAAATCCAACTGGGTAACTTCCATATGGTACACCATGGGTAGTACTAATGCCAGCAGTACTTTCAAGTCTTATAATTCGGAAAGTACTTGATGAAAAAGTACTTTATTATAGTGTTTTGAAAACGTCTCGACTTCAGCCACGAGAATATGCAATAAAAAATGGAGATACTTATTAAAAAAATTAATATTCACCTTGATCTAACTTTGGTAGCATCCTCTATATAAAATCCACTATTTCCACCTTATTTCCCTCTAGAAAAAATATTTTTACATAAATTTTTTTTTTTACATCTCTTATGGCTTCTGCCCACAGGATGCGGCAACGCTTGCCGCGCGGCAAAAAGCGACGCGATAGCTAATCAATGTGCTGTTTTTCCATAACAACTAAAAGTTTATTGGCTACCGCGTTGCTTCTTGTCGCGCGGGAAGCATTACCATGTTCTGTGTGCATTAGTTTTTAAGATATCCATCTAGAGCGATTAAAATGCCCCACCCTGTATATGAAAGTGCATATGTAATATACAATTTGCTATATTCTGTCATAAATAGATGATAAAATATTATATTATAATGATAATTTCTTTATAATTCTATTTTTATTATAATTTCCCAAGCAGCACGTTCGAGAAACGTTCGCTTTACGTTCATTTGGTTTGGTTATATTCAAACAAAGTGGGAACGTTCGAAGAACATACGTTTTAGAACCTCTAATATATATCTTACGTAGCAAAAGTGTCGCAGTATCACAATTATGCTGCTCTGTTACAATCCCATTTTTTAATTAAAATATATATATCTCGAAGTTTGATTACGTCTATTTATAACAAATTATTTAAAAAATATATTAATTGCTAAAATTTTAGCAATTGAAAAAATATATTAATATATAATTGTGATACTGCAACATTTTTGCTACATAAGATATATATTAAAGGTTCTAAAACGTATGTTCTTCGAACGTTCCCACTTTATTTGAATATAACTAAACCAAGTGAATGTAAAGCTAACATTCCTCGAACGTTTACGTGCTGCTTGGGTTCTTTAATAATATTTGAGTTTGTGATATTATTTAAATTAATGTAAAAAACTAATCTTCCTTTAAAAAGAAACTTTTCAAGTTTGATGAAGAAAATCTAATAAAATTATTACCTTCATTCTTATTAATTTATTGCGGGAATTTTCCTCATATTAAACATCTAAGTAATCATTTTTGCGAAAAAAATATAACGATTTTTTAACGATTTTTCGAAAAATATTTCGTGTTCTTGCTCGCCCTTTCCCTAAAGGAAAATAAGTAACAAAATATTCTCCGTCTGTTAACTGTACTGTGAATAAACTATATGGATAGCAAGACAACAGTTCGTGAGCATTCAACTTTCAGATTACAAAATAAGGGAGTTTTTATTACTTTTGTGTTGCATTTGTTTACTGTCATATTAAATTGCGCGCACTTGAATAAACGACGGTTAACGTAATGAAAATACTGTTGGGCTATACTGAAATAATATTTTTATGTTTAGAGACGATGAGATTCGAGAGCGTAACATATTAATTGTATTGGTGGATGTTATGACAACTGCTCACGGCAGTAGTATATAATTGTCTGGCGCGACAGTATTGGGCATCAATCCGCGAAGTTTCGACGAAGATGAAGATCCCAGCGATAATTGCAACATCTCTCCTCTTTTGGGGTCTTGCCAGCGCGGCTGGGCCGCACATAATTGGCAATTCCGCATCCGCGTCCGCGTCCGCCTCAGCTGAGGCGGTGGCTGGCAGCTGGAAGAAAATTCACGGCGCACGTGTCATTTCCAAGGCTGGTAGCAACAACATCCTCAGTCGCGTGGAAGCTTCGAGGGCAGCTGCGACAATGGTAGCATCTGCTGCGGTAGAAGCCAGAGCGGGTCTACGAGCGGGCAAGGCTGCCGCTGAGGAACAACGCGAAGCGTTGCAATTGCTCACCGAGTCCGCCGATAGAAACGCTGAGGCGCGCATTCTCGCTGATGACGCGGCGGTCCTGATACAAGGTAGTGACGAGGCGCAGTCAGTTGCTGCAGCGAAGACTGTCGCGGTCGAGGAAACGTCTGCTTCCTTGGGCGCAGCTTCTATAGAAGCCGAGGCTGCTGCCGCAGCATCTAGGACGTCCGCCGGACAGGCTCTCCAATCTGTGCAAACCGCTGACTCTTCTCTCAGGACTTCTGCCAGCACTGCTCTGATGACCCTAAAATTGGCGAACATACAAGGTGCGGCTTCTGCCAAAGCTGCGGCGCAGATGGAAAAGGCACTGGCTATGACCCGTGACGCCAACATTGCCGCTCAGAAAGCCATGGCGGCCGAAAATGCAGCGGCTGAGGCTGCGGCTGTCGCTGCCGCCCGCCAGTCGGAGGCCAGAGATGCCGCCGCTGAAGTTAAAGCGGCTACCTCCGCGCTTCTCACCGCTCAAAGAAACCTCGTGCAGTCCAATGCGAAAGTGTCAATGGCCGACGGAGAGGCTCAGTTGGATTCGAAATCTAGAGCTGCCGATGCCCAGGTAAATGCCATCGCTCAAGCAGCCGCCAATGCCAGTATACGTAAGAAAGAGGTAATCGAGATCGGAGCCGAATACGGCAAAGCAAGCGGTGAAGTGATCACTACCGGCACACGGTCCACCGGTGGAAGGGGCGCTATTGCCACCGCCGAGGCCTCGAGCAGTGCTTCCGCCATGGGCATTAAGAAAGGACATAAGTGGGGTTTTCATAAGAGCCTGGGATACTCGTCCGCGAGAGCTAACGCCGACGCCAGTAGCAGAAATATCATCATCGCTGGCCCGAAACACGGTGGTGTCGTAGGAGCGTCAGCAGTTGCGGAGGCGGAAAGTTCTGCCGATACTCTTCTACTGTAATACGCACGAGCATAACAGCACGTGCACGCACGTGACTTCTTTTCGACCATTGCGTAGCAGAAAATACTACAAATCATGGTTATATGAATTCTTAATCTTAGATTAGAGCACAATTACACTACAGGAATTGAGAAGAAGAAGAAAAAAAAAACAAAAATAGCAGCGGTTTGAAATTTAAGACCTGTAATAATAAAACATTGTTATAGCAGAGCCAAAAGCGTTCTTTCCTTAAGTTCCATGTGTTTAAGCTAATAGCGACGAAATTATCGATACCACAGTCTACATATTGATGAATTTTTATATTAATCCGAATATCTTCATCAGTAACCCTCACAAAGTAACCTTCACCTATTGAAAAAATCACTTACGATTAATTAAAAACAGAATTATAATTCCATGAGAAACGAGTTACCTATTGTGACTTTGGCTATGTACGAAAATACGATTATATTTCATCAAGATAAGAAATATTTTCATATTAGATTTTGTCAAACGCGGTTGGCGAAGCCTTGCACTGTAATTAGAGAGTACTACCATTTCTTTTGTAGTGACCATAAATTGATTCCAAAGATATTTTAAAGCTTAGTTAAAAAAAGGAAACAACTTTAAAGTTTCCTTGAATATATATTTCAATACGTTATTACATATAATTGCTAACACGAAAGATTTTCCTTTTTTTATCAGTTTTAGAACGTATTTCGTCATATAAAAGATGACAGCCTCTGCTCACGGGCAGTCAGGGGCAATATGAGAGTCGACGAATCATACATATGAAGTGTAAAATAAATTGGAATGGTAAATATAAGCAAAATTTTGTTGTACGAAATAAAACTCGAATATTCACTATAAACACGAAGAAGAGGAATGTGAGCAAAAAATGATAAATAATTGAACTGCGAGAGAGAGGGAGAGAGAGCAATCTTATTAAAGAAATCTAAGATGGTAACATATCTGTTGACTTTGAACAGTAAGTGGTATGCTATGAAATATATGGTTTCATGATATTACTAAAGATATTTGTTTATAATAACTGTTTTATTTAATTAGATAAAAATAAAGGAAGCATAATCAGTAACTGATAAATAATACAAAAAGTGTCAAGATTATTAAAAGAAATCTAAATGACTCATACTTCTATAGACTGCATATAAGGAGAAATCCTATGCAGGAGCGATCTTCACCCTAAGGAAGTGAACTGAAATGTTGACGAAACGTCGGATTCAAATCCTCGAAAGACATGGCGCCAAGCCACATCGAATACTTCTTGCATGTATTAGACCTTTTAAGCAGTGATGAAAGCATATACGATTAATAATATTTAAAATAAATAATTTTATTCAATAATAATCAAGTGTACATGCATTATTTTCGTCGCATAAAAGGAAGAAACAAGCAGAACTATTTGCGAAACCTATGATGAACGCAAAAAGGAATGGTTAGATAACCTAGAACAACCTTCTACTTCGACACCAAAGCGCAAATCCACAGGCATGAAATTCTCCTCTGTATTTGGTGGAACCAGAAGAGCGTGCTCTATTATGAGCTGCTCAAATCTGGCGGAACGATTATTTTAGAGCGCTACAATTGTGCCGGTTGAACGAAGAAATTCAGAAAGAAGAACAGGGAAAAGAAATCGAAGTCATCTCATTTCACGACAATGCTTGGCCACATGTTGCTTCCGCGATTAAGGACATCTTGCTGGAGCGGGAAGTCCTACCACACCTGGCGTATTGTCCACCTTGCTACTTTATCTATTTCGATCAATGCAGAACTATCTCTCCGGTGCGATTTAGAAATGAAGCACGAAGAATTTATCGCATTGAAAGGTCTGTCATTCTTCAGTCAGGAAATCCATTTGTTGCCTGAAAAATGGCCCAAAGCAAGCGAGGAGAAATACTTTGATTAAACATGCATGAATTGTTTCTTTAATACACGTAAATAAAGTCGCCAAGAAAACCTCAGTAAGTTATGCACGGATCTAATATTACATTGTTCAAAAAATATTATAATTGTATATTTGTTGTGCAAAATGTTTGAAACAACTGGTATGCGATGCAACAACTGATATTCACATAATATGTGTTAGCGACACGGATTATTTCAAAATTTTTAACCAAAGATTATAATGATTGGGGCAAACAGAAATTAATTTATCAAAGTATAAAACAGTTCATACTAATCGTGAGAAAATTTAGGAACATTTTTCTTGTGNGTACATCTATAGTACGTCCAACATAAATTCAATATATTCAACTAATTTACGTGCAGTTATACGTGCGTATATGCGTGTGTACATGCGCGTAAGTAAATTAAATTATTCTTGACTGAAAGTAGGACATCTTGAGAGCTTTATGTATAACGTTTGATAATCACAAATGTCTTCGGGCAATGATATGGATTATTTTTTATTTTAGATCAAAATGATCTCATTTTGATAATTGTACATCTTTCATTGACAAATAAATCTTGATTTTTGCTAACAAGAGCATCGAATTAATTTGCGCATCTAATAAATATTGCAATAAGGAATATTTTTTGAATATATATATATATATCTTACTGCAATAATTTATAATGCTAGCATAATGGGAGAATTCAAGCAAATTTAGAAAATATAATCATTTTAAAGCATAGTCGTACATAATGTTATTTACGCAAATCTATTACGCATGTGGGCCCCGTAGAAACAAGTCACTGCAATTGTTAAGACAATTAATTTTTATTAATATACTTGGTAGCACACATTTCGCCAATTTTTTTGTTATTTTTTATTTCTGCCAGTGTAATTGCACTCTAATATACAAAGTTGATTACTCGAAATTTGTTTCTGTTCCGCTTTAGTGACTAAGAAACTTAAGTCGATCCTTTTCGCTCTCTCTATTTCGCTTCCATTTTTCTCGAAGAAGAAGCTTTGGCGGAGCCGCTAACGGTGACGCTGGCGGAGACCCCTCCTATTTCAATTACAAATGCATGCCCTTCTTCGAAATGATATTATGTCCCTCATATCCCTTGTGTCCGGCGCCAGCGAGAGCATTAGCTTGAGCAATCCCTTGAGCTGATGCGCCACCGTCATTTCCTAATCCAACAACTATTCCATCCCTCATCGCGTTGATAACGGACGCTTGAGCAGCAGCCCGGGCTTCGGTAGTAGCGGCGTAGTAGTCAGCTCTAGCGGAAGCTGCCTGTTGATCAGCGCTGGCCTTTTCAAACATAGCAGCAGCTAACTGCTGGTTGCTCAAAGCGGCAGTCTGTGCTGCTTGCGCTTCTTCAGCGCTTGTCGCCGCCGTACTGGCGGCTTTAGCGTTTGCTTGCGCAGCCGCGTTAGCCTTGGCGTGAAGAGCAGACGCGGCGGCGGCTGAGGCGGCGGCCGCCGTTGCAGCCTGATTATTTTTCGCCGAAGATTCCTCGATGCGAAGCATCGCCGCTAATACAGCGGCTGCATTACGGTTGGCGTTTTCAGCTTGCCCGTTGGCATTGACCTGTGCTGCATTGGCCGCCTTAGCATTCTCCACAGTGCGTTCGATCGCGTCTTTCGTAGCCGCGGCCGCCGCTTCGGCTCTTCTGGATGCCTCGATTGCTTCGGAGATTTCTTGGGAAGCAGCTCTGCCCTTGGCTTCCGCGATTCTTTGAGCTTCTTCTGCCACTTTAGCGACAGCTAGTGCATGGGCGGATGCCTCTGCCGAAAGCTTAATGGCATGCAAATAAACTTCCTTAAGATGACCCAATATCTTTTTCAAGATTATTAATGTTTCTTGGGCTGTGGCGGCATTGGCTTTGGCATTTTCCAATCCAGCGCTAACCTCCTTCCAACTCAGACCGAGTTTGGCCGCTCCGTTTATCTTATCAACTGAACTTAGTGCTACCTTCTTAATTTCGAACACCGACTTGTCGATTTCCATGCCCTTATGATGTTCATCATTCTTCTTCAGCAGAGGCAATGATATCCACTTGTTTTTAATGCCTGAGCTGGCACTAGCACTAGCAGATGCGGACGCGGAAGCTCCCGACCCGATGAGGTCCCCGCTGGCCAGTCCCCAAGCGAGGAAGGACGTCACAAGTATCGCTGGAATCTTCATCTTCGACGGAGCTTCGTAGATTGGTGCCAAATCATTGGAGCTCGCGTATTATATACTGCGCGGTACAATTGTATAAACATGCAGTACTGCAACCGCACAAATATTGTTTCTGAAATCTCCTCCATCTCGTCCACCGACTAGTTTGCCAAGCTGCTCCTATTTTCTTTATGTAAATGTTATAATCATTTCTGTGTAAAAAAAAATAGGAAGGGCTATTTATTGCATGTTTTTCAATCATTTCTTGACAATTAAATCCTACAAATAAAATGCAAGTCGCAGAAAGAAAACTTTCAAAAGAAGCATTTTTATGCTACATGAAAAAAATATCCGCAATACAATGTGCTAGAACTTATCGTTCTACATTAAACATTTCTACATACTCAAACCCTGATGAAACGATTAATGCAGAGTGCTACAATCGCCAATTGTATCGGTTGAACGAAGAAATTCAGAAAAAGGACAGGGAAAGGTCGAAAAGACATCTTAATTCACGACAACGCTCGGCCATATGTTGCTTCTGCGACTAAGGATACTTTATTGGAGCTTGAAAAAGGGAAAACCCTATCACACCGGGCGTATAGTCTTCTTCCGATTTTTACCTATTTTTACCAATGTAGAACCATCTCTTCGATGTGCGATTTGAAGAAATGAGGTTGAAATACGAAAATGAGTTGACGAATTTATCGCATCGAAAGATCTATCATTCTTCAACCGGGGAATCGATTTGTTGCCTGAAAAATGGTTTAAAATTGTAGTAAATGAGGGAAACCACTGTGGAGGGTTCAAAATTTCGATTTTTCTATTTCTGCATTTTTATAATATTTGGAGTTTTCAAACATATGTCCTTAAAATATTATATTGCAACTCGTAAAGGTTCGTAAAAATTGACACGGAACCATTCATTTTAACCTCTTTTCTCATGATTTTGTTAATGTTAATTTTACGACTATTTATTGTTTGTCCGAAAAAGTACACGAGCAATTTTACAAGTGTAGTAGATCGATCACAAATGTCATTTTGTGAGTTTATCTTTTTATTTGAACGTAAAACGTAGGAATTCTTGATATGTGTTTTCTCGCTTCTGACGTCATTAAGGACAGTTGCAGCGACTACGCAGGAGCCGTAAGGTGAGATTATCGAAAAATAAGTGAAACATTTCATATCTTATATTTGAAAATTATCACGATCAAATATCTTGAAAAGCATTCATTTTTCGATATTTTTATTGCAGTATTTTTACACACAGAATGACTGGAGGAACCGATGTAAATTAAGAAAAACTATATTATTTGAAAAAATTCAAGTTGATCTTAATTTGATGTTGGCAACGTCATTTAAGGTTCAGAGGCATATGACCATTAAATGCGCCTATTTAAACTTTACAAATGTTACCTAAAAGATTTTTTATTCAAATGTGTATTTTCTGAAATATTAAGAAGTTCCGGCACTTCTCAAACACCATGTGTATAACACCATGTGTATATCATGTCGTTGATAATATTGTTATCTTAACGTTGGATACTAGACATGTTTGTAGAAATGACTAAAAAATTATTATTTATGTAAGTACAGGTATGCATAAATATTAAATGACGTTGTATTGACGTTACTATATATCATGTTTTTACGACGTAATATTTCGCTCTTGATGATGCTTCCTTTATGTCAACATTAAAGTATAAAGGTAATGTTTTCCTTAATAATTATTAGTTGCCTTTTTATTCAAGACATTTTCGTTTTGCAAGATATATTTTTAATGGAAGATTCCTAGATGCATATAGTTTCAGTCGGACACATCCCGACCCGTGATTGAATGTCCCTAGGCATAGACCGTCGTGATTGGATGTTTCCGACTGAAACTGTGTACATCTGGGACTCACTCTTTATAATTTGTCTTATTGTAATCAATTTGGTATGGTCATCGCATAACAGCTGCATCGTTTCTATTGTTTGTTAGTAAATAAATATGTTGTTACAATTTTTGCAATATAACAATACATTAAAAGCATAAGTTACAAGGGTATCATCAGAATTCATTAGTTCTTGTTCGATTGTTAAAGTCAGGCAACGGGAACCGGGTGTTACAGTAACAGAACGGATAATCATATATGAGTTGGAGATGGGCACACTATGAAAAGACTGTTCAAAAAAGAAATATCGGATTTTTTAAGACAATTAAATCAATATGATAGGGTTTCCCGAATAATGAAATGAATAAATTAGATGAAACAATTTTCTTTTTTCGATCAAGCAATGAAATTACTAGAAAAATTAAACCATACTACCTATCGATTAAAACATTAGTTTATTTGGACCGTTTCAATTATCAAATTTATTTCTTTGAGTTGAATAAAATTTGTCAAAAAAATTTGTTCCGTAAGTTACTAAGCAAAAAGAGATTAATCTATAAGAGATCTATAATCTAATCACAGCTGTTAAGACTATTTATTTAATTTTATCACATATTTTATAAATATTTAACATATGATAACGTACGTAGGTTATCCTTCATATGATAACGTACGTAGCGGATTATCCTTCAGCCAAACATACGCGGTGAATCAGTCTTCCGTGTGTTAAGCGAATTTCAAATATATTTTATATGTAATCCTCACTAAGCCCTAAACTAATAAATTAATTAATACAGCCTTTTTTTTATAGCTACTTATAAATTATAATTAGAACATTTTATTATCTTTTGTTGAGAGTATCCCTGAAAATTGTTTTCGTGAACGTTAAAATTGGAGAATCTTCATTACATTTTTCTACGTGATTAATTAATGATATAACATGTTATTATATATGTGTATCACTACACAATATGCATATTAATGAATTTAAGAATATTGTTATATGTTTGATAATGCTAGATTAATGAAATAATGAATATAATGAAGAAATATGCAAAAAAGTGGCAAGTAAGTTGCATGCACGTTATCACGTTTAAAAACACAAATTGAAGAAAAACGTGAGCACAGTTAAACAAACAGAAACAATAAAAACAAAGAAATGTTGAAGCGATAGAGTCGACGATGATAGAGGTGTGTCTTGTGATAATATTTAGAGGAGTGCGTGAGTTTTCGGACTGTTTTCACAAATGGTTCAATACGGTATAAAACCGGCGAGCCGCCGATTAACTCACATCAATCTTGCGAAGAAGTTATCAAGATGAAGATTCCAGCTCTACTTACGACGTCTCTTCTCATCTGGGGTCTTGCTGGCGCCAGCGAGGTTGTCGAATCGAAAGCGAGTGCATCCGCTCAAGCGTCCGCCAGCGCATCGGCCGTCGGCAAAGGAGGATGGGGATATCGTTATCACCACGAAGGCGCTAAGAGCGAGGTGAAAAGTGTTGCTGGGGTTGCAATCGAAGGAGTGAAAATCGGCACTGGAATTGGCAACACTGCGTCCGCATCCGCGGAAGCCCTTTCAAGAGGGCTCGGCATTGGACAGGCAGCTGCCGAAGCGCAAGCTGCCGCGGCTGGTCAAGCGGAGATCGCCGCCAAGTCGTGCAGATTAGCTGACAAAAGCACTGCTAATGCTGTTGCCTTGGTTGAGGCGGCAGCTGAAGCTGAAGTTAACGTGGCTAACAGAGCAACCGAGGAAGAGAGATTAGCAGTCTTAGCCGCTAAGGCCGCAAGAATACTCGAAGAAGATGTCGCTAATGTGAGAGCAGCTGCTGGTAGATTGGATTTAGCTGCAAGGGCCGCCGCTGTTGCTCAGAGACGCGCCAGCGAGGAGTCGGAATCGGCTAACGAACGTTCGCAGGCTGCAGCAGCTGCTGCCGCTGAGGCCGAGGCTAAAGCGAACGCCGCTAAAGTAGCAGCGGCCTCTGCCACGGCCATTGCCAACACCGCGGTTGCTATTGAGCACAAAGCTGTTATTTCGGCGCGCCAAGCTCAGGAGACCCGTCTTAACGCCGAGGTTGCTGCTGCGCAAGCCATGAACGCGCGAGTTATCGCTTCCGCCGAATCTGAAGCTAGCGCCGATCTTGAGAATCGCGCAAGCGTGGCGCGTGCCGGTGCCGCTGGTGCCGCTGAAACCAAAGCTATAGCTGCCGATGCCGGCGCTACCGCTGAGATTGCAGCCTACAGTTGGGCTAAGAAGGGTGAGCTTACTGACGCCGGTCCACTGCCGAAGATTGTCAGTGTCACCGCGGATCTGACTAAAAGTGAGGTTGAGGCCATGAAGATCAACCGAAATCACGGAATTCACGGAAATCACGGAATTCACGGAAATCACGGAATTCACGGAATTCATGGAATTCACGGAATTCATAGGGGAATAATCCACAATGAAGGTATTGCAAGGTCGTCCAGTAGCGCTAGCGCTAGCGCTAGCTCCAGCGCCAGCGCCGGTAGCATCGGCAAACTGGGGAAAGTTACCTTGGTTAACGCTGCAGCTAACGCGGAAGCAGATAGTAAGGCAGTAAATGCATGGTGAATAGGGTGATGCATGCCGATCCTGAATTTTACATTTCGCACATGGAATGTGTACGGATTTTTTAAGTAATGGATATTAGTAGAGTAGCGAGACACACAGTTACATGCACAATTGAAAAAAAAATTACAAAAAAAGCAATTACGTCAGACAAAATTGTAAAAATGGAATTAAATTGTTGTAGCAGTTACATCTAATCCGACTTTTCATTGCGACATTTCCTTACCACTATCTTCTTCGAAGCTGTAGCTTGTGAAGCTATAGCTTTATCGTCAATGTTAATCGTCAATATTTAGAGATCAATATCTAGAGATTGAGAGGGAACTTGATAGAAATATCGCTGGCGAAGTGCCGTAACAGGCCAATGAGGCCCCTCCACTAGCGAACTCATTGCTACCACTAATATATAAGCCTGCGTAGCCATGAAGCAGAACGTGATGTATATAAATCAAGAAACCACAATATCGACGAATACTCTCTACGGATAATGGATAAGTGTCTAAGATTATTGGGTTCCTTTCCGTGCTATATGTCTACGAGTGAGCTGAGACGAAGACTAACAATCGTTGGTTCTTTGTCAGTTCTTGTCTCACCACTAGCGAGATCGCTAGAGAAAAAGAAATTTTATCGCGCTAGACGACCCCTTTCATTCAACCGGCTCCTTCCAATGTCGCTGTAATTCATATATATATATATATATATATATATATATATATATATATACAGGGTGTCTCATTTTAAATGACGCCCTCAAATTGATCAGTTAGAATCTGAGGAGAATAATCGATTGCGATTCTTCAATTTCTTATGGCTCAAGACTTAAAATTTAAGTCTAAAGCAGGAAGCACACGCATAGTGCATACGCATAAGAAGGCGAGCCAATCAAGATTCTTCATTTTCATCATGAGGATAGAGACATAGAACTCTGATTAATTTGTTAACTTATACGCCATGCTAATACATGCATAAATGCGTTATGCCAAAGTATGTGCTTCCTGCTTTATACCTTAAATTCTCATTGTAGATACAGCTTAAAGGACTGTCTATATTGGAAGTAAGCAGTATTAAGTAAGGAGAAAAGTATTGATTAGTAGTAAGGCAATAGGGAGCAGGAAATGGGAATGATTTGTTTACTCCCGTTGTTATACTCCTTTATTCTCCTGAAAAAAACTTACTCCACAGTATTACTACTTCCAATGCAGACGGTCCTTTAGATGTGTTTTTGAAGCGTCTTAAAATTTAGTCTCAATGATGTCTCATGCGTCAATTTTGGGTATTGTGCTTACTGAATTTTTATCAGATTACTTCAATTTCGATGATGCACATAAACAATGGCATACTAAAGTGATTGTAAGGTAACACGTATCAGTATGAATTTAATATACTGTTGTTTTACACGCGTCAATAAAATAAAGATAATTCGGGATAAAATTGCTAGTTGATACTTGTATCAAACAGTCGGTGTAAACAAAGCTATTTATAATTTGTAGCAAGTATTCTCAATCCCAATACATTTTACGTAGGATCATTAAATTCTACCCTTTATTAGTAAGGTATACCGAGAAAAAATGACGTAAAGGATATTAAACAAAGGAATTACGTGAAGAGAAACATTAGGAAGAAATTTAAACCTGCGTTCGGTTTGAGCGCATTGTAAACGCCATTTTATCTTTATTGTTCATTAAATGCCAAAGAAAGATAGAATGACGCTACAGCGCGTGAGCATCCAAAGTGAACGTAGACTAGATATGATTAAAAAAGAGGATAAAAAAGAAGAAAAAGATACTTTAAGAAATGATAGTTTAACTTCTGACGAAGGCAGATATGTGCTTTTTAGAAATGATATAAATTGAAAAGGAAGATGGAACTACACGATAATGGAGTGCAGCAGTAAGACGAAAAGGGGAGACGGTGCAAGTGAAGACCACGGAAATACACGAACGCAAACTAGTCATTGCTCGGAACAAAAAGTGGGGGTGATGGGATAGTGGGAGTGATGGTGAAGAGTGGTGGTGAGGGAGGGGTTAAACACGCCGGCGCCTCAGTATCGTGGTAACCATTGATGAGGTTGTTTTACAACACGCCCCCATCCGGAATAAAAAAAGTCTAGTTTTTCCATTAATTCGGTTGTACGAAAAATTGCAAAATACGTAGAGGCAAAAGAGTGAGAGAAGCACAGTTGGACGCTTAAGTTTAACTTTCACTCGTTCGTGTTGTTTTTTAGGGAATAAAGTAACGCGTCGTTTCAAAAATGATAGCCGCGATAGCTTTGACGAAAGTTGAGTTTGTTACTTTCTTGAGGTCAGTGCAAGAATAACAATATTGAAGCAGTGCATAAAAATACCAGCTGTGTGTAACGGTTGGGACAAGTGTGCTGTGGACATATCTTTTATTTTGTACAATTAATTTGTTTTCCGCAAGCATACGCCAGTTTTCCTTATGTGTTTGCCGGTTTTTAATTGTCGTGTACACAGTATTCTTTCTACAGAGATGGTAGCGTGATAAAACTTACAAGGGAACAAAGGGAGACAGCGAGCGAGTTGAACAAGCAAGACTAAAAGCGACCGAGAGAGAAGGAAGAGAGAAAGACACACACACACACACACGTGCGTGCAACGCATATTATATATATACATATATATGTATGCATATATATATAGACGTTCTATCGATCGAGAACTGGTCCCACCTCACGTGAGTTGATGAGTTTCATATTACTGTGTACTCACTTGTCTTTATCAATATCTTTCCGGGATGAGAATGGAGGCCAGGCTAAGATATATGATGAGCTCTATTCTGCTCTATTTGCTGTCTTTGTCGCGACGCCATAATGCTGTCATGGTAAACCTTTGACATAGACTCATGTATAAAATGATAATAGAAGTAACAATCGGAAATAGACATATTATTTAGGACCTTTGAGACACATTGTCCATTAATTTTGCAAATAATTCCTGACTATTTTTTTAAATCAAAACTTATCACCATGCAGGAAGTTTACTTTCTCTTACTCTCAACTGTTCATTTTTATACGATATTCTGACATGTATCATGCTCACACGATAAAACACGTTCGATAAAATAGGTTTGACTACTACCGGTAGAAATAAAGTTGGTGGTATTGCTAATTATTTAGTGTAGCATTTCATTTTATTATTAGTAAGCCATTTGAGGGTATGCGTTTGTAAATAGATTCCGCTAACATCAGAAAGAAGAGGTGAAATTGGTCGCATAAAATTACTAGTACTGCGTTTTGTATCTCCCACCAGTAAATCAGCTGTTGCTGTTAGAAGCTGGATAATTATGTATTGCCTTGAATAATAAGTAATTCTTACACCAATTAAGCAAACAAAAGCTTTTTTTTTAAATACATGAATTATTGCTTTTTTTTTGTATTCAAGCATGCAAGAATGTAGCTTAATAGATATCTTAACATTATTGAATTAACTGACTTAATTCGGTTTATTTTATACTAGAACACTAAAACAATTTGATTTCACTCTAAACAAAATTACATCTATCTCTTTATCAGCGCTTTATATATGTTTCGATCATTTCAACAGCCAGTCTCAACCGTCTTTCTTTTATTCGCTTGGTTTGATGACATTGACCCATATTCTAAACTCATTTTTATGTATTTATTTGATTCACGGGAAATGATTCTTCCCTTTTATATATAAATCATTCAACAGAAACAAAAAGGAAGTAATAATGAAGATATATACAGACAAATAAAATAAAAAGTACAAAAGCGCAGATTATGAAGACTCGCTGAAATCCTTGATAATAACGCATTTGTAGGTGGACAAAGACATATTAAGTATGTCAGCCAAGTAATAGATAGTGTCGCCGATCATAGGTAGTCTATTAAATAGTTTGAATAGATAAAATTTTAGATAAAATCCTATGTTTTTCCTTGTGGAAAGGTAGATACCGTCTGAGCGATCTTCCAGGTATATTAAATCTAATTAAGTTTGAGATTTTTAAACAGTCGATTGTATCTCTAAGAATTCTAAAAAAAAATAACAGATTGGATAGAATTTTTCTATTATGTAACGATATCAACCCTAATTTATGTAATATCGGTTCATAATCATGACAGTTAAATCACATTGGTCTATTCACACACAAACTAACTCTCCTAAGGAATTTCTGTTGCACACATTCAAGTTGAAGAGAAAAACTATTTTGATAGGGAGACCAAATATTCGAATGTTCTGGTGGACCAAATATTCATGTTCTGGTGGGGTCGAACTATCGCGCAATATAATTTCAAAGTTCTCGGATCTTTGAATTCCTTACAATATCGGAGTATGGAACCTAATCTCATTTAATCCTTAGATGTAATCGCACGTAAATGATTATTAAACGTTAAATCAGAACTAAATTGTATTCTCAGATTATCGTATCAACCGCCGATAAAGGAGAGTCCATCAGTGCATAATTGTAGGTAAAAGTTTTTATTTTGCGTGTAAAATGCATCATATGACGTTTATTCAGATTAAAATCTATATATGGTTTGCCAAGTACCATGAAACCACTACCTGAACACGATGTAAATCTTGATATATACTAAGCTAATATCAGCTAAACTGTCTATCTTTTTATAGATCTTTAGGTCATCTGCGTATAGTAGCAATTGAATGATACTATCAGATGCAATTGAAATGATACTGTCAGATATGTTGTTTATAAAAATTTTGAAAAGTAATGACTCCAGATGCGATCCTTGCGGCATACCAGACAGTATATTCCTATTTTTTGAACATATTCCTTTAAATTTCACCACTTGACATCCAAAAAATTAGCTATCTATTTTAAAAACTGACTTTTGACTCAGCCAATTATGCTAGACTTATTTCCAAATTAAATTCATTTGGTACAAAAGTAACACTTAGTAGTAACACAAAAGTAACACTTTTGTACCAAATGAATTTAATTTGGAAATAAGTCCAGCATGATTGGCTGAGTTAAAAGTTAGTTTTTGAAGTCGGTATAAATTGTGTTGACTTAGTTCAACCTTCCTCAACAACAAAAGACACGTAATTGTGATATAGTACTATGTTAATAATAGCAGAGCGACTAATTACCAAACCATTTACTAATGATAAAGTTAATTATAAAGTTACTAATCATAGATGAAAGTTTCTTGGGTATTATGCCTTCAAAAATCTTAGCAAAAATTATTTATTTACTGATAGGTCTATAATTAGAAGCTGCAAAATCAACACCACCCTTAAACGTTGGAATAACTATACATCCGTAGATCAGGGAAGACTCGATCCCAATATGGGCCATCGATGGCTCACTTGACATTCAACGTGTTAACTAGACTCAAATAATAGTCTTTGTTTTGTTTCAGGTAGCATGAAAAAGCACAAAAGTTATCGTTCGTCAATAACAAAAGGATAAGAAACTTGAATGATCAATGATGAATGAATGAAATTTGATGATGGAATCAGAAGTAATCTCAGAGCCTCCAAGGGTTTCCAATATTCCATTGGAAGTGCAGTCCAATTTGTTACTGTACTTGAAAATCTAAACCGTTGCATCATGTTATTTTATATCGACAGTTCGGTTTAGTCTTCAACATTTATCACTCAATTACTAGCAGTTTTAGATACTCAGAACTGCATTAATCATATAGAGTCCAAGAAAACAATATAAAATGTAGATCACCATGGAAGAGAAATTTTATTAAGATAATCGTTAGATAGCATTTGAATTGCCTGATAAAGCTGTTTTATGTTCAAGTGACCTGAGAAAAGCACAATATATATATAAATACTTGAACTTAGAAATATTTTAGAAATGATGCCAAAGATCTACGTACATTAATTATTTTACAAGAAATAATTTCCATGAAGGAATTATACAATTTAAAGGAAACAAGAAAAAAATTTTGTTACAAAAACAGAAAAATTATATATATATATGAAACTAAGAAAAAAACGAAGGAAGATTTAATCAAACAAATAGGTCTTATAATATCAAGGTATCAATATGGCGGCGCCAGTGATTGAGAAGAAGCGTTTTTTCTGTAGGGAATGGGCTTTCATAAAACTCTCTCACTGCCTAGAACAACGACCAGCTTCGAAAACATGTGGTACCTTGATTGTGGGTGGACCAGGAAGCGGGAAGACGGCGCTTTGTGCCGAGTTAGCCTGGCCTTCTAATGGCACTTCTGCAAGGCATCAAAGATCCTTAAATCGCAGACTATTGGCTCGTCACTTCTGTCAAACTAGAAGTGAGGCATCTCTGTCGCCCGCTCAATTCGTTCGATCTTTAGTCGCCCAGCTACTTCAAACCAGTTCTGATAGAATTAATCGACCGTCGTCCATATCAACTTTGCCGACAGTTTCTACAACAGAAGTTACGAATGCGATTACAACAATAACTGAGACTATAACAACAACAATGATAACAGTAACGACGCCTGTGACTACAGCATCTATGACGGTTCTTACTTCCAAAGAAGCTGTCGCAGAAGCTTATGCTGAGAAATTGAGTACTGACCCGGAGATACAAGCTGCTTTGCAACCGGATATATTAGATAGAGATCCAGATGACGCGTTGAAGAAAGCTCTATTGTTCCCGTTGTTAGAAGTTGAACCACCAAAAAATAGTCTCTTTTTACTGGTAGATTCCATCGATGAAGGCCAAATATTAAATTCACCGCTGACTGGTACTAAAGATTCTAGAAGGGAAAACAATCGTGTCAGTCGTACGATAGCTGAATTACTAGCCAATCATCATCATTTATTCCCACAATGGCTTCTATTAGTTTGCACTGCTCGACGGCAGAGTAAAACCATCTCTCGCATGTTCACTGGCTTTCGTAAGATCTCGTTGGACGACCTCAGAAAGTCCCAAGTCGTCAGAGACGTTCAACAATATATACTTGCACGATTGGATCAGGAAGATGCACTCAGGTACTTTCAGCAACAATATTTTCAATTTTTGTTTAAGGCAGGATTCACGCACGTGGAGACCTCTTGTGGAGCCTGTCGTGTACAAAAACATATCCCGGGTGAAAATGTCTTATTGAAATCGTAACGAATTACATCGAAATGTTACCGAATCGTATGTTGAAATTTATATCGGTTGACTCATTTTAAATATCACTTCAATAAAATTTCAATAACAATTCAATACAGTAAAGATAAAGAATTATTCACTAATGTTCCAAATAAAAACCAATTTGTGTATTTCACAAAATTATTCAGCAAAATATATTAATATTCAGTATTATATATGATTAGAAACAATGAAAGTAGTCCAAATTAGAATTTTAAAATTATAAAGAAACAAATGATTTAAAACTTTACAATGTATAATTTCTTGAAGAACACATATATATATATATAGTAAAGTAAATATATATATATATATATATATATA